CCCTGAAATATATTTGCCCTTCTACCTTGCCAGTTATACACACTTTACTAAGTCATAAGTAGAGGAAAATTCCTAACTTTTCCCAACTTGTCAAATTGAGATAATTTTTCCATGACCATCTACTTTTTTTCTAGTAGTACATTATTAGCATAACAACTGTTCTACAATAGGCCAGGGATCATAATCACCATTGCCACTGGTTAGTTTTCACAATGTAACGAGGGCATTCTTGTGAGGAAGCATTTAAAATCTTCTAAAAGGCAGGAAAATAATGCTGTCCAAGAACAATGAAGATGCAATTCATTGAGAATAGTGAATAGATAGTGATTCTGATTCTCATTTACATTATTGAAACAACAAACATTCAAAAGAGGTGTTGATGGTTTCAGATTTCTAATATGTATCTGACTGACACTGACTTTGTTATGATTGCTTCACATATACTAAATCATTGTGTAGTTTCTTTGATTTGGCTTATCATAGGTTACTACAGTCATTGGTACTTTATTCACTACAGCTTGTTCTGTTGTGTGAACAGAGGCACTTCAAAAACCTTTTGCCCTGTTCAGACATGGCAACATAAATTGTACTGGTAATCATGTTAGGCAGAATAGAGCATACTCATAGTATATCATTACCCCACCATGGTGTCTAATGGAGAATTTGTTTTAATTCCATATAATTAAAAGCTCTGGGGAAATACCTACAACCATTTTTTGCTTCATGTGATTCAGAAGCCTGAAAAATTGGAATTCTATGACACTTCCATAGTTAGACAGAAGTGGTGCTGTTTGGTTGCCACTAGCTCTCTTTGAGTGCAGGACAAACTAAAGAATAGAATAAAAGTCAATTTGCATATCCACTGCACTGTCCTTATACTTGAATGTAGCTAATCCAGTTCTTTGTAAAAGAACCTTCCCACAATGAGTTGCAGACCCACAATGAGTTACTGATATATCACTACAGTCATCTTCTAGCTCTCTAATTGGGTGTCTACTCAGAAGTTCTACTCCACTAAAAAAAAAAAAAAGCTCCAAATAAGGGATTTTAAATGCCACTGCAGAAGTGAATTGCCCTTTTTGTGCATTTAAAGAAGTGTTCAGTATAGCAGAGCCAAATGAAGCATATTATGAAAGCAGGAATTCAGATATGTAGAAGACAGAAGAGTGATGTAAAAGAGCATCTTGGACATAATATATTGCACTTTAGTGAATCTCTGCCTAAAGAAACAGATGTATAATCAGATTAGTCTGATTTATAGCAAAGCACAAGAAATTACTATGATCACACCATTTTAATTTGTGTATATTTATACAACTTATAAAAATTATGTACTTAAAGACAATAACATAAAGGCCAAACAGTAATTTTGTATTTATTCAAAAGGTTTAAACATACAGAAGCAAGCTCCTAATTATTAATGCATCATTATGCATAGATGTTGCTGTTTTATACTGTAGTGCTGGCTGCTTTTTTCATCCAGTAATAATAGGACACAACCACCAAGAACCTCTCCTGCACAAGTGCTAAGTTCTTGGTGTAATGTGCTCCATAGCTCCATGAACTTTGAAACATAACTCTGAAAATCCTGGCATTATAACTGCTACCTAACAAGTTAGTCATCTGCCAGATAAAATTGCACCCTTCCTTCTTTCTTTCTCCCCTCTATCAAAAATGTCACATCTTTAATAGACAATTAAAAGTGCATTAAATGTAGAATGGTTTAAATTCCGAAAGATTTCTAAAAGTCAGTGAAAATACCACCCTGTGATTAGATTTTTGCATTATTGATTATAAAGTATATTTTATTTTAAGATTTTGATATTGCAAGCTTTTAGTCCTTTTCAGTTTTGTTCTGTGCAACAGAATGGTTACACACTGCAATGCAATATTATTCTTGAAATACACACTGCAGTAAATTAAAACTATTTTACATTTATATAAATACAATGTTCTTGCTGTGTAATTTCAGTCATTGCCACAAAATCATTACACTCAATCAACACAATTATTTTCACATTTTGAAGTTGTTTATCTTATTTTGCAGGAGACAAATATCTATTTCCTTCTAAAATACAATGTACTCCTGATACCTTCCTTTTATTTGAAGTTCATTTTAATGATTTCTAAGCAATAATCAATGGTTTCATGAATAGGTGATTAAAGAATTTATTATAATCTGCATACTCTTCTTGCAAAGATAGCTATTTTGCATAAAGTTATAAATTGTTTTAAAACTAATTTAGTGTTTTATTCATGACAGTTCTGAGATTTATGAATTGTACCACAATTAAATGCAATAAGGTACAAAAAATAAGAGTAACCAAACAACTGACATCTACCAGTGAATTTAAAAAAAGAAAATAATATGGCTTTAATATTCTAATCAAGCAAAGTTACTTGGAGATAGAAAAATATTTTGTAACTTTGCTAATAAAAAAACAGCTGCATTATTTACCACAAACCTGGATAATTTAAAATTCCAATTTCAGTAAGTTTTTTTTAAAAAACTTAATAAAAAGGATATTTAATATAAACGATCATGTTGCATGCTATATATTTTTATCACTGTAGAAATGCAGTTTCATATTGCTGTGCAGTCCAAAGAGCTGATAAAGGATTTTGATTTTCAAAACTGCAAATGAATTTATTAAATTGCATTTATTTCAGCTGGAATTAAGTTCAGTTAGTATTGTCAGGATTCAACCCAATACTGTATATGGCTGTTTAATGCATATCGTGATTCTTCTCTTTCCATAGATTCTTATTCAGAAAACTGTATGGCTCAAAAAGGTCAAGTTGAATTGAATTCAGTTCTGCTTGTCTACTACTGGAATTAACGGTACTGGCAGATCAGCAGATCAGATTTCCCTTCCCCTATAAAGCTGTTCCAGATGGATGAGGATCCTTAGAGAGATTTGAGGATGCACAGGGAAACTGATTTGAGAAATCCACTTGCTACGGTTTTAGTTAAATTTTATGGATGCAAGGTGGAAATGCAAATACTTGTTTAAGTTTCAGAAACTTCATGAATGATTAGGATTCAAGGAATCACTTGGGCTTCTATTTATGCTCCATAACTGTTTTTGAAACAATGCTTTTAAAAATAGTTTGTACATTAGGATATTTGCTGCTAATTGCAAAAAGTTCCAAGGAACATACCCAAACTTTAAGCACGCCTAAAAAACCTTTTGGATCCCAGATTTGGTTATTAATAACAGGTGCTAAGCATGGTTACTAAGTAATTCCACTGGGACTTACTCTCAAATAATTGTACATAGGATTTCAACTAAAAGATCATTTATTTTTCTCAAAGAAGTTATCTAGACTTTTTTTTAGACAATTATTGTATGTAATATCAATTATCAAGTTTTTTTAATAATTATGCTACATATTTAAATTATTCAAATGATATATATGATCATTACAAGAAAGACACTGTCCCTGTAACATAGTTTTAAGAGAGATCCAGATTTTAAAAATTGTCTTTCATTTTAAGGCTCATTTTAAGAGTAGCACTGTATTTTGTACTAAATTAAATTGCAATCCTATATACAGTTACTGAGTTGCTGACTTACCTAGCATTAATAGCCCCTATTATTATCATTCAAATGTATCTAGGATGTGGAATAATTTTTATTTCCACCTATATATTCAGATTTGTTGTCCACACTTTGGCAATATACATTGACCCCCGTTTTAAAAGGAAGGAAAAACAATTCTTTAACCACAATTTTGACATAAAATTAAACAACCCCAAAATGAGTAGATCACTATACTCTGTAGGGTTTACACTGTTAATGAGACTTGCTTGGAAGGCAATGTGTTTGAGAGTGTATTGTTTATAGATAAGCCTTTGTGTAGGACCATGACCTTCAGATTGAACAGGTTGGGGAGCAGAATCTCATTTGATCCTGAGGAAAAAAAACTGGGCACAATTCACCATATAGCTGACTTAAGCAGGCTCCCCTGAAATAGGAACCAAATTATCTGCACAGCTTTATTAGCTTTAATGGAACATGTAGAAAACGATGTGATGATGGAGTCTATCCTTGTTAACATTATCTTGTTGGATAAAATGTGTATAAAGCTGCAAACACAGCAAGAGGCTTGAAGCAGACTCATTGTGCTCAAAGGATGTAAAAAGTAGTAGACAAATGCTGAGGAAGTTGGATGGGAAAAAAACAACTGGAAACAATTATGGGTGGTTATTTACAACAGACATTGTGAGATAGATATGATGCTAAAAAGGCACAGCTTTCCCTTTCTTAAATACACTGTAAACGTTTCATTATGCATGCAGAACAATTCACTTTACAAAAAAAAGAAAAAGAAAAAAAACCTTGTGTTTAGACAAAAAAGAGTAATTAAATAGTCTCCAGCAAAATAGAATTCTTCCAAAAATACTTTCCCATTCATCCTATTAACCATTAAAGATTTTAGGTCTCATTTACAAAAGTTCCTTATACCATTTGTTTCAGGTCCTTCAATTTATACATACAGCATTGTACAGTACAGCAAAAGACTGCAAAAAATTATTGGTAAAGCCAGCACAATATACTATAAATTGAAACTGAGGCATTTGTTTTAACATCTTATCCTTTCAAGTTAAATAATAAATGAACACTTAACACAGTGTAGATCATCTATGATGGATAACATGGGATAACAAATGCCGCAAGTGAATATACCAAGATTATTCCACACCAAAATGTTCCATTATCTATGTTACATATCCAGGAATTTGATTTTGTTTCTACGTATGTGTGTGTGTTTGTGTATAGTACAAGAATTAATGCCCCATATTGACTTTATTTATGTGCAAACCAATGGTAAGCTTTTTTAAAAGTTCATAATAGTTCTTAAACCCTTTTAAAACAAGCAAACAATACCAGAAATTACATGACATATTTAAAATGTTCTTCTGTTAATATATCAAAATCAAGGAGTTATTTGACTAGATATGGCTTTTTATCCAGAGGAACAGGAATATTTCTTTTTTTAAATGCTGGGAATATTCGGGGTAGCCTGGTGTTCATAAACATCTTGGCTAGTTTGTCTTACCAAGTTCATGTAAGATGCTTGTTTTCCATTCTCCAAACCTTCATATTGTCTTTAGACTACTGAGACACTGTTGAACGATTTTGAATAGCACACTTTAAATGTGGCTTCTTGGCTCCTTCATGGGTGTGGAATAGCGCAGGGGAACTTAAGGCAAAGTTTTCTTTTTCTTTTTTTTCCATTAAGACATGTTCTGTCATTTCCTGTGGAAGTAGAGGGGCTTGGCATTCCCAGATTCCACCTTGGGTAACTGGTCACTGATAATTTCTACCAGCATGGCTGGAAACTCCACTTTGAGAGCTTGAGACTCTCGGAAGGTGTAGAAGCAAAATTCCAGCAAATCGCTAACAAGCTGAAATGGAATGGGAGAAAAAAAAGTCAGGAATGGTGAGCATTAATGGATGTTGAAAATAGTTTGTAATACTGAAAAAGCAATGTGAAACAGTAGTCCAAAAGATGAAACTTTAGGGCTGTGCAAATTCTTTGAAAAAAGATGTGGTGAAACACCCAAGAGCACATCTGAGGCACCTTTCTTTGAACTTGTTCTTGTTGAACTTAACTTGTTCTGGTCTCTGGTCTTTGACTGTAATAAATTTACTTGATTTTTAACCCTGAAGTCTGTTCATTTTCCAGGCTTGCACATTTGTTAGAAGGCTGCCTCTGAATCTTTATACCTGCACGAGTTTGCGCAGCATTCTCACATGTGAAAGCAACTGAAAGTGGTTTTCAAAGCAGCAACACAAACCTTGACAACGACCAGCCGTTTTAATGATTTTAAAATGGCTGCTTTGTATTTGCTCCAGCCTGTTGTGAACCACCTCTTTTAAAGCAAAGTTATTTTCCAAATCTCTGCAAAAAGTAGCTGTGACCTGAAGAAAATTACTTCTGCTTCAGTTTCACTGAAATAAACTGGCATATAATTTACTCTGGTTTGTAACAAACATCTTGGTTTTACAGTCATGAACTGGAAGTTGAACAGGAGAAAATGGAATTCTTCAAACAGAGTGTTGGTGCCACTTTACAAACGCTTTTTTTCCCTCCTTAACAAAAATGGCAAATTTTGCCACACCCATTTCCCTTTTTTTAAATTCTGATTATGCATATTTTATATATAAAGTGAGTGATATAAACCTGTGAAACTGCCTCAAATTGTCCTAAGGTTATAGTCCAGTAATGGCGAAACTTTTAGAGACTCAGTGCCCAAACCGCAACCCAAAACCCACTTAGTTATCGCAAAGTGCCAGGGCCGCATCAGCATTGTGGTGCCCTACAACTAGTTTACATCCATTTCCCTTTTTCTCAGGAGCTTCTCTTTGTTTTAAATGTTTCTCTTTCATTGGCCTTTTACTAATGGATCACACAAAAAATAACAGAAAATCCATGAAATAACAATACTGAGCATGCCCTATTTCCATTAGTTTTATCTCCTATAATGTTGTTACAATATTTAGAAAATAAGTTTGAACTTTCAGTTGGACGTGTAGGGCAACCCAAGGCCATTAAATTGCTCATAGGATGGGGATGTATCCACATACCAAATGAACTTTTGTGCTGGACATGGGTCAGTCACAAAGCACTTATTTTAGTTAGGCTGAGAGAATTCCTAAAGCCAGAAACACCAAAAATAAAACTAGTTTTTGAACCATTTGCTCCCAAAAATACAGTTCGAAGAAGGTGAACAGAATCAGTGTCTTTACAGGCCTATCAAACTCTTGATCCCTCAGTCTATTTCTCTGTGTTAATACAGATTCCTGCCTTCAGTTGTCCTTGCTTTGAAACTGCATTGCCATACATTCTTCTGGCAAACATATTTTTTTCTGTCTTGGACATAATGCTTTCCCCACTGCTAGATTTTATTACACAAATTTATGTCTGCAAGGTGCTTGGCTGTATCTACTAGGTTCAAGACAGAATTTCTGGTGATGAAAGAAGGCAGCTATGGCAGCAACTTAAAGAAAAAGAGAAAAGAAAGAAAGAAAGATAAAAGAAACGTTAAAAAGAAAAAATGAAGGGGGTGCAAAGAAATAGGAACGTGGTATGGAAAGAATGGATGCTGGGCAGATGGAAGAAAAGGACAGAAGACAACACTTGTGATGGTGGAATGAAGAAATAAGAAGGATCATGCAAACAGACAGCACATATTCTCTGTACAAGAGTCTAACTGAGTTGTGGGCAAAGTTAATTAATGTGTGCAGTTAAAAATTCTTTTTAACTCAAATCAGTTCCAGGCAGCCATGTCATGCTAACATTAAAAAAAAGTTAATAGATGGTTGACCATTTTTTCCCTTGCTCCTGGCAAAGAGAAGCAAAACAGCTGCTTTGGTTATTCTAATTACCCTGCTTCCAATCTAGGCAACTGAAGATTGTAGTAAAACAAGTAATAAGATGGTGGAGGCATACAATACATCTCCATTTACTGTCTTGTTCTTGATCTACAAGAAATAAGAAAACCAACTTCAGACAGCATAAACCTTCAAATTTAATGGACAGGTGTAAAAAATAATCTGATATTAATGATCTGAGATTGGAATCCTATCTCTGACTCAAGAGAAAGCTGTCCAGTGAATTCTGTCACTCTGGGATGCTGCCTTGGGAGCTATGGATTGGGTTCCAATTATAGCAGAATGGCTGTATATACTTACTGTATCCAATTCCAGGTTTATAATAATTAGTTATAATTATGTAATTGTCAGGTACAAGGAATCAGGACCATTCATAAGACAGCAGCATAGAAAATTTATTCAAGCCTATACACAAGAATCTGGTCAACTAAAGTTCCACACAAATTTGGTGCCCAATAAAGGTCAATGCATTTAATTCCGCCTTCCCCAGTTTTGCCTGCTCTTCTTCTACAGTAACTTTATGTTTTAGAAATAAGTTTCCATACATTTCACAATTAATTAATTACAAGTCTGTGAAAAATTGTTAGAATTATTTGTGTTTTGAAAGGCTAGTTTTTTATTTTAAAAAAATACAATTTCTTTCTAATCAGTATTATAACTACTAAAAATCCCACAATGATATAACTACATTTCTCCAGGATGGCAAACTCAACTAGCTGGCCTGAAAAGGATTTGTTGAAATCTCTGTCTCCATTTCTCACAGCACAGTGAATTATTATCACCATCTGACCTAGTTTGTGAAATGGAAATAAGCTTCCCACAGCACTATGTATTCAAATCACATAATGCTTCTAATAGCACCTTATTAAAATTTTATTTATTTAATGTACTACCTTCTCAATTTAATTTTTGTTTTTATCAATTCTCTATCAACAGAAATAATAATTCGTTTAATTGAATTGCATAACTGTCACAATGGTTTTCACTATTTACAATGATCCAGCAAGTTTCAAGTTAAATAATCATCATTGTAATGGTTTAGCTTGTCATTAATAATTTGTTTTAAAAAGGTCATACTTATGGGCAAATCATATTAGGCTTGATAGGTAAATTCTGCCTTCTAAATCAGGGATCATACCTTAAAGATAAGAGGCTAGGGAAAAAGTTACTATGAAAGAGAGTTATGATGTTTTATCTGCTTGTGAGTTTTCTGAATGGCTACTGAGTAACACACAATTTTGTACAAGTAAACTTGTTCTTAACTTCTTATAATCTTGAAACGATTTTGACTGGATTATCTATTCAACTACCTAAAACTATTTTAACAAAACTCCCTGACAGTTCTAATTCCTAACTTCTGGGCTGGTACACTGCAATTCTAATCCTAACCAAAAGATTGTGATTTTGTGTTTAGAAGTTTGGTATTTGATATACATTTGCATGGGCGCACTTCATTAATGTTTTTAAGACAAAAATCAGTGCCAGCGCATACCAATCAGTCATCAGCCAATCTCTCTCATTGCCACTGTCAGACCCCTCCAATGTATTTGCCTACATATTATTGCTTTGCCTGTAAATTCCTTTTCAGGGTCTGCCATTCTGGTGGGAGGAGGGGCTGCTTGCCTGGGGAATGTATTTGCCTGGCTCTGCTCTGTCCTCTTTGAAATGTCCTCCCTTCGTGAGAAAGGAATGTGGCCTGAAAACATCTGCGTTATCTCCAGACAATGGAGCCTGGTACTATTGGGAAATGAAAGCGTGAGAGACCTTGAGATGGGTGCTAAATCACTAGGTTCTCAAAACAACCTAGCACCTATGGATTGGCTGGATTCAACTGGACGGTTGGACACTGGGGGGAAGAGTCCTGAATGGGCATTATGATGTAACTTTTCATATGCAAATTCTTCAGACCTTGCTTTGCTCTATTGCTATCACTAACTCTCAACAAAAGTTCCTTTTGAAACTTTTGTTTCAAAAGTTCTGCTTTCTTGAGGCAAACCCTTAAAGCAACTTTGTTTTTGTTGTTTGTTTTTGGAGAGAACCTTCCACAAAAAAAACCCAAACAACAAAACAACTACTCCCCCAATCTATAATCTTTTTTCCTTTGAACAGAAAAATAAACTAATTATTTAAAATTTATTTTATTTGTATATCTTTTGTGCCAGTTTATTGATACAAGCTATTAAGTGAAGAAAAGATAATGAATTTCAAAATTAATTAAGCTTGACTTGCTGTATCATAAAAAAAATGTAGTAGAGGCTTCCACAGCCCCAACATAGTGCCATCTTTGTGAGGTGAAGCTTTGCAAGCTTCTATGTGCAAATGTACAGATATGAACTACTTCTCCCAATCTCTTTAGAACAGAGTTCCCCAACCTTTCTGGCTTTACAGACTGGCTGGGGGGGAGGAGAGGGATGGTTCCATGTGAGCAGCTCCATTTGCATGAGCAGCAAGTGCTCACCGCTTGCACAAATGGAGCATGTGCACCCACATTTAACTGCTGCTCATGCAAGTTGGGATGCACACGGGCTCACCTGCCACTTCCGTGGCCCAGTTTGGAAGGCCTCAATGCCCACTAGTGGGCCACTGCCCAGGGGTTGGGGACCCTTGCTTCATAGGTTCTACGTCAGCTTAAATCTGATTTCCTCAGTGCTATGACTTTGTGTCTAAAGTCAATTCATTAATTTCTTTTTTTGCTTTTAGAAATTAGGGAGTCTATATATAAATGTGCTGATGTTTTACAATTTTAATCTGCATACCTTTTCTTTTCAGGAGCTTTTTCCTCAACTTGGCATTTTTTTGGCATTTACATATGTTTCCCATGAGAATACCAACTAAAATAATGTAAACTTTTCCTGTTGCTGTTACTGCCTAAATCACAAATTATTATATTTATACTTTGCTATTGTATTTGAAGTAGCTCAGTTCCTTCTTTGTGTCAAACCTGACTCAACTCCATAGCTGCACCTGCCTTCGCTCTCAGTTTGCCAAACAGCAAGGGAGGGGGATGGGCTAATTCTTAAGGAGGGAGGGAAACTCTGGAATGCAAGAGTGCCTTCTGTTTCCGGTGAGATGTTAGACACCAAGGTCAAGTTCTGAAATGTTTGAGCGGCACAGACAGTCTTTTCCCAAAACAAAAGAACTGAACCTAATTGGTTAACTATGAACTGAGGGTGATCCGGAGGGGGAAAAGGGGGTTTTACCTATGTGGGTTTTTGCGGGAAAATCCCAGAACTGACTTTACTTCTGCTGTACCTATATGGATATTTCAATAAAGCTACACTCTTGGTAATTTAAAAGAGCCGAAAATGTGCCAAATGGGACAATTGACACTTTGCACAAGGATATTTTTTTTTGTACATGACCTTTGGATTATTCTACACAGCTAGTTTAATAAATGATGTAACTGTAGGGAACCACTGGAGGCACTACAATAATATATTACTTTTTGAAATATGTACTATCTTAAACCAATTTGATAAGACAAGGACTTTATGTAATTTTCTCAAAGGTATTTCCAATCTCATTTTCAAAATTATCCTGTAACACAAGTATTTTGAAGAGGTGAAAATCAGTGATTTTCTATATCTAAGTTGAGGTGAGGCAGAATGTTTGCTTGTTTGTCTTACTAAACCAATTTCTATAGCCACCTCTCTCACAAACAAGTGACTGGGCAGTGTACAACAGAACTAAAAACAGTTAAACACATTAAAAACTATAAAAATAAAGCTAAAACCCTTTTGTTATATAATCAGAGTAATTTTGAAAATAAGAAAAGTGATCTTTTGAGACTAGAAATAGATAGATAGATAGAAAGAAAGAAAGATAATAGGTATAGATAATATATAAACACTTTTGTTATAAATATATATTTAAATAGAAAGGGTAATACCACAAAGGAAACTATTTGTAAGAGTATCATCCAGACATTCTGAAGAGTTACAGTAATACACCTACAGGATCTTTGATTTCTTCTTAGAGGCTTCTTAAAACCAGTCCAAATATGCATAAAAATGGAAATATTCTGACTATTAAAGTACATGACAATAAATATATTAAATATTAATCATATTAAATATTAAACATAATGCACATCCATACACCACCCCAACTCTCATCCACCCTCCTACATACAGTAACCTATATTTACATATAATTGGATAGATTGAATTAAGCAAAGCATTAATTGAAAACAGTGAATCTGAAATTCTACTAGATTTAATCCAAAAATGCTTAACTAATCTGGTTTGCAGAGCAAGCTGATGTTGAACAAACAAAAAAAGAGATCAGATTCCCCTCCTCAAAGCAAATGCAAGTCTCTAAAGAATGAGCTGTTACTGCAGTACTAATAATACTTTGACTCCCACCAAGATTTTTCAGTGTTTTAATTAACAGCACATTACTCAACAAATAATTCCATATGTATGTTCTGTAAACAAACCTCAGGCTTTCATACAGATCTGACCTGAAATGCACTATACTGTATTGCATCTTCATAAATAAGCCAGTTAAGTACAAAGAGGCACATTTATATGCAAACTCTCGCACACCAAGGCCAAAGTTTCTGAGCGATGTCTTAAAAGTGTATTTTACTGTGTCTATGCTAGCAAGAATGGGGCAAGATTTTCCATATTTTTCCTAAGATATTTAAATAGCTTTTAAACGATATTTGCAAATACCCTCATGTAACTGGAAGTTCAATAAAATTGCAAAATATTAACTCCTACTGGAAAATTTTAAAAAGAAATCATAATTTAAATAATGATTATAGTACTACAGTCATGTGGCAAACTCATTATGTTCAAAGTTTTTTAAAGAAATACTGAAGGAGCTGTTTCACAAGTTACCACACTCAGCAAAATCTTTAAAAAAGATTACAATATATAGAAATGAATGTAGATTCTATATTAAGAAAAGCAATTGAGAACTTGGCTCCATACATGCCACATTTTTAAGAATTCAGAGACATGTCACATTTTAATGAAATTAAACAAAAGACTTCAACTGATTTTCAGTGACTTTTAAGGTTAATTCTGGGAATACCTTTGTGGATTGTCCTCATCCACAGTCCCATGATAGGTACTGATTGAAAGTGTTCAATGACGCAAGATAATTTCCTGTACCTTTAGCTTCAGAACTTTGGGTTTGAAACTTATTTAGTCTCCCTAACTAATATGGTTGAAATCCAAAACTTATTTTCTATGTTCCCATAATGTTTAGTAAAGGAAGTAGGAACATTTCTTTATTTTGGCAGGTAACTGTCTATTCCTCCTTCACTTTATTGGTTATTACCAAAAAACTAGTGAAGCAGAGGGAGAGAAAAGAAATATGAAAATATTATGCTTTGCTAATTTTTTTCCATAACAAATATTTTGCCAATGAAGCTGTTACTACAGTACTAACTTCATATAACATGAGTTAGTATCATGATACCTTTTCTATGAATTAGAGCTTCAAGGGGATTATTTATCCGATTCTTCTTCATAATACTTTCCTCTGTACTGTAACTTAAATTACTTACATCATGAATAGAGTCCAGGAGCTTTGTCAGTTGATAAAATCGCTGCCAACTTTGCCCAGAATTGTTTGGATGTTTAGTTACCATTTTTCTAAGTTCTTTAATATAATTTGCCCTCATTTCTTCAAATGCAGCTTGGCTCTTGAGGCCATCCTTGGGAACTACAACAAAAGAAAGTAAAATATGCATTATTCAACTTTTTGTCAAATGAAAAAGAAAACTTGTTACAAGTAAGGTCCATTCTTAATGATCAGAGTCAAAATTTGGTGTAATGCCGTTTCCATACTTCTTGTGCATTTTGTAGAGTGGCAACTCTATAAGCCCTTTAACTTGTGTAAAGTGTTTCTTATAGAATATTTAATAACAGAAGGCAAGTTTTGAGGTTGCCTGCTCATGCTCTTTCACACACACATCACATAGGAATGAAATATCTTTTACAATACCAAAACATTTACTAAGTTCCTAAACTTTCCTAAACTTTTAGTTTAGGAAATCATTTCCAATACATATAATTACATTCAGAGTAAAATTGATAACATTCTTAAAGATGGAAGAAACAGTCTATTAATATTTACTTCTATATATTATATTAAAAATAATGCTTTTGAACCAGGATTATTTTGCAACTTCATTTTTTTAGGTTGCAAATATGGCACCGATGGAAATTTTACTTTCATTTATTTATAAAATTGAAAGACTGCCCATCTCACTGTTAGAGTGACTCTAGATTGTGTACAGTCAAAAACATAAAAACCATATAAAAATACAATATCTCAGTAAAAAAGGCAGCTGAAACAGGAATAAAATAAAAGTTAAAAAGGTGCTAACCAACCCCAAGATTGCATGTTCCTCTGTGAACTCCATACAAGTCAGCAGACCCAGGTCTTAAAACTGTTTTAAAAATCCATGACAGTGGGCCCTACTTCACTTGTGGGGGGGGGGGAGGATGTTCCAAAGGGCCGGGGTGACAGCAGAGAAGGCTTTGTTTCTATACCCCACCAGTCAAAGTTTTTTAACCGACAGGATCTGTAACATATCTTCTCTGCCTAACTGGGGGAAGTGGACTGATGTAAATGAGGAGAAGATGGTTCTGCAGATAACCTGGTTAAATATCTAAACTAATCAATTAATTGATTAAATATCCAAAATCATATCATTCCCAATAGAAACAATTTTTACAATATTTTTCTTGAAATACTTGATCAGATTTGGCATTTTCTTCTTTAAAGCATTCTCATGCTATTTTCCTTCCCAGAATGACAGTGCCATTATTTTGGCTACATTTATATAACCACATACAATTATATGGCACATTGAATAGATTGCCACTAAAGTGCACAGAAATATCAAATTAACAAACTGTGGCATACAGTATCTAGTTTGAATTTATTTATTTAAATGTCATCTCAAATATTGGGTACTTTTCTGCATTGTGGTAAATCAAGGTAAGCTATATGAAGCTTTAGGATTCCTTCCTGCTTTTTACAGGGCCTGGAACATTCTCTAATAACCATACTATATATTTAAATCTACAAAGTCTATAAGCATTAGATAGTTTTGAAAAATATAAGTACTGACCAGATGAAAGACATCCAACCCAACTCCACCAATTTTTGATGCTATCCTACTCATCACTGATTTTCCTTTTCATATTGTTAACAGCAGTCCTCAATTAGAAAATTGTTGTATATCAATGCAAAAATGCATGCTGCTATTGTGTCAAACATTTTTTTTAATTTAGACATGATTCTCAACCACTATTCTGAAATCAATTGTGAAATAATACAGGTTGAATCAAATATTCTATTTGGCCTAGTATGATGAGACACACAAGGAATTTGTCTCTGGGTCAGAAGCTCTCAGGTACATGCTAAGCAACAGAATAATGATAATCATAATAATAGTAATAACAATAAGGGGGAGTAAAGAAGATAATAAAAAGTATAAATGTGTGGAAATGAGTACCTAGTACAGGATTCGGTAATGACATCAGAATCTACTTAATACAAAGTATTAATAAGTATTATAACTGTATTCTCCCACCTAGGTTTCATTTTTTTCTTGTGTGAACCTTGGTGGTATAACAATTCTGAAAATCAATTCTCCTTTTGGTGAACTTACAAAAGATATCTTGGAACTAGGAAAAATAAAATGATGGAGTAGACAGTTTTTGCCTTGATCCAAAATAGCTTATCTTATATAAAATGTGAATTGCAATGTTCTAAAAGTTAGACAGGCAATCTAGAATCACCCAGGATATTTTTAGATTACTTCCAGTTTCATGAGGACAATCACTGAGGTTGTCTCTATGGTATTATTAGAGACTTCCAAACAAACCTCAACTGAATTTTATATGAGCTTCAAGACTTTATTAATACTGTGCAACATAACTTCAATAATAGAATATATTTTTCTGATGTTCAATTACACAAAGAAATTAACTTCCTCCTGTAAACCTGGATTCTTTTCCTAATTCAACACTCTTCTGTCATTGTCAACTGCAAACAAAACTCCATATATAGATGGTGCTGCAGTTTCATTTAATTAAGAGAAATAATTTGCAACTTCATTGGATATAGACTTCATGTTAAAATGATCTGAAGGGAGAAAACTGGTATGAAAAAAGCAACATATTATAGCATGGGAGTTTTACTTTTGTTCACTACTTAGTGCTTTCTCATTTTTTAATTCCATATTATTCAATGAATACCCCATGTGTCTGTGTTTTTTTTAAAGAAAAGCTGGACTTTTTAAATAGTATTCCACAATGATGATGACATTAAAAGAAAGATTCAGAAGCTCAACAGCTGTTCCAAAAGAGCAATAATGTTCTAAATGTTTATCTAAATAATTTAGCATCTGGAGGCAAGCAAATAGCTGGTTGGGGAGCTGTTGTTAGATCATTTCAGTTTTGGAGAAGATGCTAATGGGTGGTAAATGGCACTTTATACATTTATACATTTGGGAAGGGAAGGAGAGTTTTTGAATTGGCAATCTGAGAAAAGAAGTAACAGTTAGCGTGTACTGATGCTTTTCTGAAGAAAGGGGCAGAGTATATATAAAGAAACACTTTTGTATTCATAAGCATTCTATAGATCTCAATGTTGCTCTTGTATAAGTAAGAGCAGTGAATATCAAAATGACAGGTTTCTTGTCTTTTTCATGAGTGTAGGTTCTGATTTCTATTTAGTTTACTATTATAGTGCTGTCACAATTGGTTTTGGACAATGGGAATGATTGAATTATAGAAGATGCAAGAAGGGGCAACTTGCATCTATACAGTCTCTGAAATCAACATTGCTTCCAGCAATGGTTCCACCATTTTTGATGTCAGTAAGGAGAGCTGTACAATTAATTACCTTGTTCTCTATCAACCTCACAACATTCATTACTATATATATATATATATATCACAAAGTAAATCACATATATATATGTGTGTGTGTTTTCTGAGGTTTTCGCGGGTGTTTGTATGTAGGTCTTTGGTTATTCGGGTTTTCTCCCGCGTAAAATTGGAAGTGTCTTGGCGACGTTTCGACGAAGTTCCATTCGTCATCTTCAGGCTGGTGTCTTCAGCTTCGTGCTTCGTGTGTGTGTGTGTGTGTGTGTGTGTGTGTGTAATCATATACATATATTTATATTTATATATAACCAACTAAATGTGATTAAAGAAGGATATTTTTCTCTATTTCTACTTGTACATTGATGGTTCAGTCAGCAAAGATACATATATAAAAGTTTCAGGTTTAAACAATCAGACATTATATATACAACCCATTTTATAAATATATTTATGTTCTATATACAATCTAGATAAAATTGGCACAAAATAAGTGGAATGATATTATGTATATTTTTCTAAAGACGAATCTGTAAATTATTACACCAGCAGCCACAGAATTAAATACTGTATATAAAAACTGATAATCAGAAACACAATCGAAACTCTACACTTTGGGATGTAAGCCCATTGGCTTCTCATTTTGATCATTACATTTGGCATTTAGCTATCTTTCCTCTTCTGTAGGCTGGAGAAAAATAAAAATGATTGAGATATATTGAGAGATTTCTTCTATGCTAGTTGAGAAAAGTTTCCTTCATGTGGATACTATTCAAGTTTTCAAACAATTACACAGTTGTAAGTGCAAACCCACTCTCCCAAATTTCAAAAGCAAAAAATGCTGGAAACGGGCAAAAAGAAAAGTTGCAAATCATGGTCATAGTCATAAATGTGAGCCAGTTGCTAAGCTCCCAAAATGTGGTCATTTGACCGTGAGGCGGTCGTGTAACATTTTACCAGAAGGGCCAGAAGAGCTTTACTAGCCATAAAGCACACTTTCTGAGGCCATTGTAACTCTGAACATTAATTAAATGAGCATTGTAAGTCCAGGACTACCTGCACTGCAAGTGGTGTACATGTAAAAGAACTTAAAAATACTGAAAATACACAGCATTATTCAGATATTATATCTGCAATTAAACCACATTTATTTTACTAGGTATAATTCCTAAACATATTAACAAAATATCACAAAATACCCACAATTTACTAAAATACTTGTCCACAAGGATACAAGGAAAAACCTACCAATGATAACAGACTGAAGACTAAAATTATGAATATGCAGTAATGGAAAAATGAACAACATATATTCTGAAGTTTAACTGAAGTTTAAGCAAATATAAGCAAGAATAGCTTCCCTACATACTACGTAGAGGCAATTATAAATGTTTTTAAGGAATTTTTAAAGAATTAAAAGCAGAAATGACAAAATGTTTAAAATGTTCATACATTTTGTATGTCAGTATGAGTACAACAGAGGGGCAGTTAGGAAGCTAAGATATATTTAAAATATTTTTAAAACCTCCCTCCCTCCCTCCTTTCCTTCCTTTCTTTCAAAATTTGGGGACTCAGTGCCAAAAGCCAAATCCTTCCCCCTTTCTTTATTGACTTGGTCATTCATTATTTTTTCCTTCCTTTTAAAACAGTATTTTTGGGATAAAATTAAGAAATGGCTATATTAAGGTTCCTTTCCTACCTCCTATCTGCCCTATATCAATTTATTTCTAGAAGTAATTTATTCCAGGTTATAGTTTCAGTGAAGGATACAGATCTTAATATTCTGCAAAACTTCCAATGTTGGCACCAAGGGCGCTAAACACCTGTGACAAATGTTTCTATCCTATAAATACTATGCATACCTTAGATCACCAATTATTTCTTCACAAGAAAGAAAATCAATTATAAGGAATACATATTAAAATTCAATATATAATCAAAACTACAATACAGTATTTCTCAGTTTTGGCAGCCTTAAGATGGGTGAACTTCAACTCCTCCAATTTCCCAACCAGCATTATCACTGGGGAATCCTGGGAGATGAAGTCCACCCATCTTAAATCTGCCAAGGTTGAGAAGCACTGCTATAATGTGTAGTACAAGATATTTATTTATTTGTATCCCCCCCCTCTCTCTCTCTCAGGGCACAGGGGGACGGGAGGGCTATAAATGAAGGACTCTATCCAATTTGTGGAAATACTGTCAGTAAAACTGTACAATCAGCACTTTTTCTGGCAATAGTCAGAATTTAAAAGATATATTCTGGGAGGCTGAGTGAAGTTAGAGGTAACACTGAATCTGCTGCACCCAAAGCTCTTTTGCTGACTGGAGAAACTTCAAAATTTCTGCCTTATGTTTAATTGTAGTAGGGTAAGTACTAGAGACATAAACAAATAAACTGAACTCTTACAGGACACCTACTTTTTTCCTTGTTAAATGAGCATATCAGGACATTCTAAACAGTAAATTTTAACTATTTAGACTATTCATGCACAACCCTGGTAAAAATTGTATTGTAAACAAATTGTTAAATAAATAAGCTTTTTTTTACTAGTTTATAATATTCCTTTCAATTTTACCCAGTTTCTACATGCATTAGATGAGTAAATGGTCCAAATCACACCACAAACCTGATAGATAAACCCAAGTGTTAACTGAAAAACAGAAAGCCGCTTGTTATCAATCATCTCGTTAACACTTGGGTGGGCCATCTTTGAATATAAGCTTATCACAAAAGCAAATTCATATAGGTGAAGGTTTTGTTTAATAGGAGAAACCCGTATTCCATATATGTTGGAGGCATAACTGGAATTGTGAGAGGATATTTTACAGATTCTTTAAATTTGGCTGATTGGTAATTATGATTACTTGCAATGTGACAATTAAGCAGAAAGTAATCTATTCTTCTCTCATATTTATATATGTATGCATGTATTATATGTACATATGTGTGTATATAGTTCAAGCATATATGCAAACTTTCAAACAAAATACTGGATTGCAACTTCGCAGTTGTGTTTTAGTAATAACATATATGAATCTCACAGGCATTTCTAGAAACAACATAATGCTAGACTTTACTTTGAAGCATGCAAGGTTCTGTTTTATAAATCAAGCAAATTAATCTTAAAGAAATGCAAATTATCATGCCACGAAGAAAAACTGGGCACGTGCCATGTTGAATTCAGCTTTAATACACTTCAGGTTTAAAGGTAAAAACAAAAACAGATTTATGCTGTATAGCAGAGTTAATGCCATCTTACTGTGGGCTGCAAATTATAACAGGATTTGGTAGATCTCAGTACTGGAGCTAGGATGTCTGTTCTCAATTACCAGCCCCTTTTAGGAGCCTACAAACTATAGTTTGAACTAACTTCAAAGCTATCACACAATGCATTAAAGTAATCAATCCTGATTTTCAAAAATGCTATAGATGTCAAGTCCAAAACACTAAAGAGCCTTCCAGCTCTTAAAATCAAATTTCTTTTCTTTTTTAATTCATCGTATACTGATTAGTCAGTTATTACAATAATATATGATATTATAGTATTTAAAATTGTGACTGGAATATCAAGAAACGTACCTGTGCTTAACAGCAACAAAACTTTCATTATGGTGTATTCTTCAAAACTAAGCTGCAGACGAACAAATTGAAGGCTGATCTGGTGCATTCCTTGGCATAATTCGAACATTGCAGATTGCCGCATCCTTTCTCTGTAAAAGACAAGACAGGTAAAATAAAGATATGCTGAAACTTTCAAATGTTTTATTGTTTAATGTTTTGTATTGTGTTTTGATATGCCCTTTGCTGCCTAGAATCGCTACAGTGAGATGGATGACTATGTACATCAAATTAATGATTTATTCTAATTAAGATAAAAAATAATTTATGCTGTTGTCATTATTAGGCAAAATGGATATACTTTTCCTCAAGGATCATTTTCATTTCATTAGTAACTGTTTATAGACTACACTCAGAGTTTTGTTAACATGATAAAACACTGACTGAAGTATTATCCTGTCAAAATTAATCCCTCATAAGTATCAATGGGGGGAAGCATTTAGATGGAATCATGCAAAAGCTTTTTTCATGAAGGTTGCTAATATCTGACGGGCTACTTAAGTGACTCAGAAACGTTTTGAATGAAAATGTTCTTTTCGATTCAGTTCAATGCAGATTTAAACCCAGTTTTGGAAAAGCGAATGCTTTGGGAACTCTATGGGAATTTTTTTTTTATAAAAAAGAGTGCAAAATCATTTGGATCTACTGTATGTTTGGAATAAAGGAATTGTTTTACACTGGTTCTATCCAAATATGATTGGCCTTTGGTTAGTTTAGGAGCAGGGCTTTTTTTCAGCCGGAACACGGCGGAACCGCGTTCCGGCACCTTTTTCCGGGCCGGCCGCACCGGAAATAGCCCCTCCCAAATTTTACTTGCATTCCTGTTCTCTAAAGGGGCGGTCCTAGGGTTTGATGAGGGCGTGGCCAGGTTTGAGTTCCGCCACCTTTTCTCCGAGAAAAAAAGCCCTGTTTAGGAGGATTAGAGTCCTGTTTTTAGACAGCCTAAGAATTGCAGTATGAGATTCATCAAGATTTTATTTTATTCTATTTATTATTTTCTCAAAACCACTATAAAGAGTTTTAGATGGGTGCAAACTGAAGTTCATGTAATGATAACAGCCAGTTTTATCTTCCCTATTCAAGAAATCGGTTGAGATATTGGATGTCTTCAATTGACTATAAATGAGATTATAAAATTCAGAAAACAACTAAACAAACATAAACAGGCAAAAAACAAAACAATAAATCCTACAAATATGATAGGGGCACCAGAAGTGCACCAATGGACACATTAACCTCAAGCCCTGGAACAGAGCCAGATCTTAAAGAGCTTTTCAGAACCCCGGGAAAATGGGAACTTTTTTTTAATCTCCGGGGCAATGCTTTTCTGCAGGGCAGAGGCAGCAATGGAGAAGACACTTTTCTTAGGCCCTGCAAAATGCCAATGTTTCATAGAAAGGACCGGGACTGCACTTGCTTTGTCACAACATAGAGTCAAGCAGAAACAATTGGAGATCAACAATCCCACAGATAATCAGACTCTGTGTCATGAAGGGTTTAGCAGATGATGAATGGCACCCAGAAGCCCATGGGCAACCAATGCTACTCACATAGCAGTGTGACACATGGGTATAACATATAGTCCAATCAAAAGGTGATCAGATTGTGAGTGTCCACCTGAAGGACTTCTCAGTTGAAGAAAGCAGCAACTTGTACACAAGATGAACCTGTGCTAACCTTCCTGGCCACAGCTGTGAGTTTACGAGGTCTCTCAACCAGTGTACCAGTCTTAAATGGGGAGATGCACCACCATCCAAGTTCAATGATGAAAATATACCTGAACTGGGGGGGGGGGGCAGCTAAAGTCATTCAGTCTTATTAGGATTGAGCCAAAATCTATTTCTCCCAATACCTGAAAAACCTCCAGGCACTACTGGATTAATACATTGACAGCTTCACCTGTCAGCCCCAGGTTGAGATATAGAGCTAATACCATCAGTACACTGAACTAACAGATAAACTCATTCAACAGTTTCATGTAGATATTAAACAGCAAAGGGGAGAGTGTTGAATCCTGAGGGACAAGTGACAAACTATGAGCATGACCTCCTCTTCTCTATCCATATAAAGTTTAATATTAAGTTCATTTTTCTAGCTAGAATTAAAGCTTACATATGAATGGAAGATGCCAATTATAATAGAATTATAAAATAAAAGCTAGTATTTTGATTCCATAGAGAAGAAATGTATCTTTTCATGAGCAAAAGCAAAGGAAAAACAACAAAACAAAATAAAACAAATCCAAAAGTTGCCATATAAGTCAAACATCAATTATACTAATTCATTGATTTCTGCACCATCCTAGTACTATGTGAAAACATAAAGAGAAAAGAAATCATGCAAGCAATTTCTTCCAGAATCCGGCAATGCATAATTCCTTCCAGATAAGTGAAAATTGGATTTTTCAAGAAGTTAGTATATGGAAAGGACAGGTACACATTAATGTGGCTGTTGAAATGAAAGTAATTCCTCAATTTCAGCAACTGTCCAAATGGGCAGTATTAACATAATCCATTACATACAGTGTAAGGACTGTAGCAACCACTATGAAGGACAGTTAGGGAGAATACTAGTAGAGAGGATCCACAAACACTGATCAGCAGTCGGAAGGCACGATGAAACTATTTAGTTTCACAGCTCATGGAAAGATTTAACCATAGTTTCAACTGGGAAACTGAGCATCCTAGACCAAAACCACTACGGAATTTTTGGAAGCTTAGCATTCAGACCAATCAGCAATCAACAAATAGAGATAAATCACATTTACACATCACTCAAAAGAGACAATGAAAAAATTAAGAAGGAAACCAAAAAAACAGAACACATCTTCACCAGTAACCTATGCTGAGATAAGGGTCATGCTAGTATGATGAGTGGTATAGAAATTTGATAAATAAATTAAGCTGGGATTAGCACTAGATAAACAAGTAAGCAGAAAACAATATACTAATCAAGGAATTTTCAAGGAAAAACTACAATCTCACCAATACTGGGAGGGCAAGCTACTATATATAAGCAGAAAGCAAACCCCATATTCACTAGCACTGCTGATATTACCTAGTCAGGTAATGAAATGTCTGCAAGCAAACAGCCAATTTCAAACAGCACCAAGGACTGCACAGATCAAGCCTGAGCTACATATATTCTCTTCTACTGGAACAACGGATCTGTAAGCTTCCTGAACTGGAGGCTTCAAACAAGAAACCATTTTCTGAAAACGTAGGAGATAAAATTCTTGGGTAAACATGTATTAAAATAGAATAAACAATATGAATATATTTGCTGTTTTGAAGAATTTGTTAAAATGTAGTTATCACTTCCTGGGTGGAACAATGAAAACAAAACAAAACAAAAAAACAAAACAAAAAAACAAAAAAACACCCAACATACTGTACATTTGAAGTTTGGTAGGAGGCAACTTCAGAACTTTCACAATTACTTACTCTCAAATGAGGAGGATATTGTTATACATTGAGCAGTGTCATATATTGGATATATTCTCCTACAGATGGAATGATGTAATCTTGACAATGCTTCTAAATATGAAAACTATTTCTATCTAAAGCTAAGAAATGGCTTAAAGTTACACTAGTTGGCATCTCTCCATCAATCATCACAGCAGCTTAATCTGTTGGTTTTTCTCTAGTAGGTAATCTTTTGACCTTCTTATCTTCCATCTTTCTTCAGTTCTGTTGAGAGCTTTTTGTACTGAATACAACTGCCACTGCTCTATCTTCAGCTGACTTCTTCAGGTAGCATCCAAGAATTTATTTTCAGCAGTCTTATCACTTGGATCACGAACTAACCTATTAAGATTTACTAGTCCAAACTGGGTTTTGTTAAAGCCAACAATCTACCTTCAACACCAAGATGTCCATCTTCAATGAATCCGATAGTAATCAGCTACATTTCCTGCCTCCCCCCCCCAATTCTTTTTTTCCAACCCTGTGTATGTGAGTCCACTATCCTTTTTCTGTGCCCTATGAAAATCTAAATTATCTTCTATTCCCAGCATCTTATCCACAACAGAATGTAAGTTTAGTATTTTTAGGGTATTTGGAGAAACACATGAATATATATGTTTATCCAAACATGATGTGATGGTACGCAGCAAGTTTATTATATAATGCACTGAAGAATCCAGAAACCTGAATAAACAGATGCCAATTAAGTAATCAGCAAAACTGAACCACTGATAAATCCTGATCCAGCTTATAATTTGGAGTTGAGATGCTCTTGCACAAGTAATTTCTGTTGAGCTATTTATTGATAAATAAATGCTCCCTCCCCCATTTTATTTCAAGAACCAAAGGCCTGCCTCACTGACTTGGAATGAATTGTATCACATTAGCAGATATTCCTAACCAAAAGTATGATACTACTTAATCTTTCTTTTTTATAATTTTACTGAAAATTAACACTTAAAATTGACATTTAAAAAAATGATCATGATAATTATTCACATATGTTCACATTTTCAGTTTAAAGTCCCCAGATTATAATTGTAATTCTTTCAGATTAAATTTCTATTGTTGTTTGCTGTATATTACTCCATATTTATTCATACAGTCCTTTAAAACATGTATTTTTTTAAAAAATAGTGCTTTTTTAAATTTTTTATGGTTTAAAAAAACTCCTACTTTCCAGTATTTGTCAACAGTAGTTTAAAGCATTATTTCAGTATTACATAATGAAAATGTACTTCATCCCACCTATAAAATTAAACCTTGCGCTATTCATTTATTCCATATAGATGCTTCAACAGCCAGAAATGTTCTCTTGGTCATTCTCTTTGATCATTATGATTTCTACAATAGCAGAAAAATCTACTTGAGGAGCAGTTGATTATTTCGCTTATTGACAATTATGTACTAGACTGAGTTTTGCAAAACCAGAATATTAAATATAGCAGAATAAACTACAGTGCTACATAGAGATACAGCTACATTTGAAAACAAAATGTAACAACATATGAGGAATGTGATGGCTCAGTGGTTAAAGATGTTGAGCTTGTCAGCTGGAAATCTGACAGCTCAGATTCGAGACCCAAGTGCTGCCAGATGGGGTGAGGTCCTGCTACTTGCCCCAGCTC